TATATATATATATATATATATGTATGTATGTATGTATGTATGTATGTATGTTTGTGTCTCTGTCTGCGAGTCTGTTGGTTCAAGAACTGCTCCTAAATGGTAATAGCTAGGACTAGCAATTTAGTATGCAGCTTCCTCTTACCTTAACTTAAAGCAAGGTCAGGATTTGGTTGTGCCAGGACAACTGGAAGCCCTGGGAAAGGGACTGTTTTCCATAACATGCAATGGGAGTGGTTGCTGTTCGGAGATACATGATACTGAGAGGCCACTGAAGAGTGGGGAATGGGGTACCTCGGGCCTGGGTGCTTGCCTAGATTTGGCCCCCAGGGCTCCAGGTCCACCTCCAGCACTGGGGAGTCATGCTATTGCTCCAGCTCCCCTGGTGCTCCACAGTGGGACTGGAGAACACAAAATCTACTAGGGCTGATGTGCAAAGGGAATGTGGGGAGTGTCTCCTTCTCAGTCTGTGGGTCAGAGGTTCTCCGCTACTGCTGCAGAGTGCACATTGGGGGCTACTGCACCACCAAGGTGTGGCCAGCAAGACTGGGGCTCCACCATCTTGTCTGACACACCAAGCACACCGAGTAAGTAGCCTCCTGCCCCAAACCTTTTCTCTCCCTCCTGGCCCTTGGTCGCTGCACCAGGACTGGGGAAGAAGAAAGACCCCTGGCAGCTAGGGGAAAGCTGCGGGGAGAGAAAAGGCCTATGATGGCTGCAGGGGATTGGGGAGAGAGAAGTGGCCAGTGCTAGATGGGACCCCCCCTCACATACTGAGCCCCTCCTCACTTCTCAAACCTCACTCATGCACCCCATCCCCGAGCCTGCACTGGCCCCTCCCACATTCCCAAGGCCCTGTCTCCTCCCCCTCCCCTCACACACACTGCCAGCTCCCTGCCTGAAGAATCCAGGCAAAGCCAGGTAAGTTGCTGGTATACTTTTTGTTGTTGTTGTTGCAATAATGAAGTTACTAAAATTCAATTGTAGTTGGTTCACAGGAAAAAAGGAGAAGATAATTTCAAAACTGTCAAAGGATGGAATTCAGAAGAGCATAACTTGTGTGCCAGATGAAGAAGAAATTAGTTGGAAATTAAACATCCGGTGCTAAATTCAGAGGAAGATGTAAATGATGGTGTAAACTGTGTAACATGCACACCAAAGGTGGGATGTCTCTATTTATCTTTTACCTTCCTCTTGGTTGCTTTTCTTTTAAAAGCCTCATTTCTAAGTCCCTTGCTATGCAAGCTACACAGACTTAATGTGTAAATTGACACCACCATTTACATCACATCTCAGTGTAGCCTATACTGTCCAAACTGCTTATAGAAACAGAGCTTGGGAAGGCTCACAAATAATAAGGGCTCAGTACGGCTTTCGTGGAAGCTGATGCAACTCTGTCTTTGACTGAGTTGCTTCTACTTTTTCCAGGACATAATTTAGCCAAAATCTATAATTGCTAAGGTAAAGTTGTAGGGGGTTTAATAATAAAAGGTGAAGCAGCACTGATTTAGGTATTTTGCTGAAGGGTTTATTTTTTCATCTTTAATTTATAGTATCCCAAATTTCTGGTACTGATGCTCAAAAACATTTACTTGTTTTCATTGTTACTTCTATTTTTAGTAAACAAGGTAATTGTGTTGTCTAGTATGTACAGTATAAGATCTCTGTGCAACAATTTTACAGAATATAAAACTATGTAATGTCTTTGTGAACCCAGTAACTTGAGATACCGGTTATTCCAGTAAATTTCAGATCTGGTTTATATCATACATGTTCCTGAAACATTATTTGGAATCCAAGTCCATTAAAAGAGTTGCCATGGCTTATCTCTTTGCAGTACCATGGTTTTGTATACTGTATCTATTGTTCTTCTTCGAGTGATGTCCCCATGGGTGTTCTGCTGCAGGTGTTGGGCTTGTCCTGGCACTGCAGATTAGAGATACTTCAGCAGTGGTCTGCCAGAATGCGCATGCGTGTCGGACACCTCGTGCTGTTTGCACGGTTTCTTAGAGCAAGCAGTTCAGCTCACACCAATTCCTCCAAACCGTCCTTCAGTCACAGACGGAGTGAACACTTCTCCTCAAGATCCTGTTAGAGATTAAAGTAGTTTTGCTAGTTAGTTGTATTTAGTGATCGTTCTATTAGTAATATTAGTTAGCAGTAGGTCTTAGTTTCGTTTAAAAAAACCAACAACTTCTAATTGTATATAGTTCAGCCATGCTGGGATTGCTTGGGATTTAAAAGTGCGACTTGTAGGGAGCCGCGGCATTCAATGCCTCGGAGAGGGTCACATACCTCCAAAGTGCTCTCAGTGTTCCAAGCTTACAGCGTGGGCGCGCAGGGACAGGGAGATGAAGCTCAGAATGCTACTGTTTGATAAAGCTCTAGAGCCTCCCCGAAAGGATTCACCCGTGGCCATGTCGGACTCGGCACAAAAAGATAGGCGCCGAGCGATTTTGCCGAGCTCTCATCCCTTGGCCAAGAAGAGACCTATCCTGTCTAAATTACTACCGACAATTTGTGTCTATCAGGGATAGACCAGGCATGTCAGGCATGGCCCATTCACACCGCCCAGACAAGGCTAAATCGGGCCGAAGTACATTGGCACCGGGCGTAAGCCCACTGCCAGCGGCACCTACGCCATCCACAGCATCGATGGTGGCACACGCAACACCGGTGACTGACATGGCGCCAGCATTGGTGCCTGCAACACCAGCAACGTCTGCAGCACCGGCAATGTCTGCGGCACCGAGTAGACATCCCGTTCCACAGCAGCCAGTACCAACAAAAGCCCTATGTAAATCCTACAGAGTTGCCACTGCTCCGAGCCCGGGACATATTACTTTCTCCCTGGGCCCTTTGTCTCCCTCTCCTACCCCGTTGGAGCCAAGAAGTGAACATCGGCACTGGATTACTGTGGAACACCGCATTGCAATCTCACGCGCTCATTCACTACCCCATGATTATAACACACGCCGATATACACCGTCTCCATCTTTACCAAGGTGTAGATCTAGGTCACTCAGATCACCAATGCTCTCGGTGCACACCTGTTATCACGAGGACTGAAGAAGTATTTTCTCTTTGAGATATTCCTCACCACCTAGACGATACTATGATCACCACTACGATTGTTACTATTATGAATATTGCCGCCCAAGATGCTATTCCATTTCTCCATGCTACCATAGACCAGATGACAGACGGACCCTCACGGGATCCCCTTCTCCACCTACCACACGTCAGTCTACTCCTCCAAGAGCTTGATGCGAACTGCTTCACCTCTCTGAACCTGAGGAAGGCCAGATCTCTGACCCAGAGCAGCCACAAGAGCTCTCTCCTAATGACCCATCTTCGTCCTCTCCCGATGAGTCCATAATTCCAGGGGATGTGTCGCCACCTGATGATCTTCGCCAGTTTCAAGATCTTTTTAAGCGGGTCGCCAGCACTCAATAAGTCCAACTCAAGGAGGTGCAACAAAAACAGCTTCGCCTTTTAAAGAACCTCCAGCCATCTCAAAAGTCCAAGCTCGCCTTCACCTCGACGAGGCTATATTAGAGATGGCCGACAATATATGGCAGACGCCAACTTCAATACCAGCCACCGATAAAAAGGCTGATAAGAAATATATCGTCCCAGCCAAAGGCATGGACTTCCTTGTTGACACACCCACAACCCAACTCCCTCATGGTTGACGCTGCACAAGAGAGGGCAAAGAACTCACAGTACAGACTTAAACACCACTAATAAGGACATGAAAGAATTGGACCTTTTCGGTAGAAAGACATACACCTCAGCTACCCTAACGCTGAGGATGGCCAACTATTCAGCCCTCCTAGCCAACCACAATTTCCACAGAATAACAGGATGACCAACCAGCACAATAATCGGCAGCAGGTTTGATGTGTTGGTTGAGTGTCTGCACACTATTCCACTGTCTGACCACCAATGCAAAGAAGCTCGTTTGTTTCACCACTGCCTAAGACCATTTTGAAGTCGATGGGCCACCATCACCACTGACTGATGGGTCCTCGAGCTAGTAATGTCGTGTTATTCCATTCCATTCAACTCCCTTCCCCCCACTTCTCCACCCTCCCAGTTCCTCTTCAGGAACCCCTCTCACAAGTCCCAGTTAAGACAAGAAGTACTTCAGCTCCTTGCCATCGGAACGGTGGAAAGGGTACCCGAGCAATTCCAACGGAGGACGTTTTATTCCTGTTATTTTCTTACCCAAAAGAAGTCCTGTGGATGGAGACCAGTCTTAGATCTCCATCTACTCAACCAGCATCTTCGCAAACAAAGATTCAAAATGGTGACATTGGCATCCGTTTTCCCAGCCCTAGACAGTGGAGATTGGCTCGCGTCCCTCGACCATTAAGATGTGTACTTCATGTAACAATTCATTCGGCACACAGGTGCTTTTTGAGCTTTGTAGTTGGAACCAAACATTTTCAGTACTGTGTCCTACCTTTTGATCTCTCTTCGGCACCCTGGGTGTTCTCCATCGTGCCGGAATAATCATCTTCTCTTATCTCGACAATTGTTTGATCAAGGGCCCATCTTTCAATGATGCACAACAGTCCATGGCTGCAACAAGGGCAGTCTTCGAAGCCCTTGGCCTAATAATCAGTGTCCCAAAATTGTCCGTGATACCTCAGCAATCTTTGGAATTAATAGGTGCATGTCTGGACTCATCCATGGCCCAGACTTACCTGCCCGTCACCAGATTTCAAATGATCCAGGACTTAGTACATGTTCTCTCTACAAGTCCTGTAACGACTGTGCTCACCTGTCTAGAGCTTTTGGGACACAATAGCGACTACCACATCTGTTGTACCCCACGCCAGGCTTCATCTGTGCTGTCTCCAGTACTGATTAGCTTCGGTCTACGTTCCTGGCAAA